GTGGCTCCAGCACTCACGCTCACTAGACCACTCTGATATCCTGCTGCTGACTGCCATGTTCACTCATCCCCTGCTGGGCACCCAACCAGCATCCCTGGGACTCCAGACTCCACCATAAACTGCCACGCTGAGAGGTAGGGATCAGGTCTTTAAGTGCACTCTACCTGCCCTAGGTTGGTTTCAGGTGATTTGCATTCCAACAATCACAACCTTTTTCTTACATTTTAAACATTTTAACCCAGAAAAATGCAGTATTTGACTTTCCCCCTATCATGTTCCATTAATAACATGGAGTGCAATTAGAAACGCACAGCGTAACCGGGAAAACTTAAAGAATGACGAGTGTCACTCTTTCTGCGGTAAGATATGTTGGAGTGTGTGAGGATTTGTGGCTCATTCCAAAGCCCTGGGAGGGGGGTGACTATAGGTATAGATAACAGCGTATAGTGGTTCTAGTCAAATATGAGCAGCACTTTGGTTTCCTGCTGCAAAGTCCTCTAATCCACTTATTCATGAGCTAATCTGCCTTCAACTGCTGCAGCAGCCAGAGGAGGAGGGACAGTTAAAGTGGGTAAGAGAAATTATATTTTTTTAAAAAAGAAAAGAAATGCACTCGTTGCCTAAGCGTTACCTGTGTCCATGTGAAAAAAGTCACAAGTGCGAAAATGTTTTTAAACTAAACTAAATTTCCTTTTGGGGCCACATAGAGCAAAAGTGTTCAGTGCTCTTGCCATACAGCAGAGCTCACTGACTATATTTGTCTGAGGGCCAGAATTTTTCTGGACCGACACCTTGGGGGCCGCCCATTCAAATAAAGAGAAACTGTGTATAACTATGAAAATCATTTGTACTAACAAAGCTGGAAATTAAATGAGAACTGAGATAAGTGTCAACAGCTCTGCTGGGGCTCAGCAGGACTCCCCATCAGCGAGGCATTTTTTGTGCAGTGGAGTCGCGGAGTCAGAATGAGAAGGGATGCTGTCGGTGTCCGAGGGGAGGCAGATAAACACCACAAAGCACGTTGGTGGTTGAGTGAATGTGAGTGCTGGAGCCACACTTTTAATAAAGGCTGGTGCTCTCTGCCAAATCCATACACACCATGCACTCAGGGACAGGTTTTGACAAACTTCACACACACAACAAAATGCACATCTGCATTCTAAATGCAGCTGGATCTTCCACAAACAAAATGGACAGCTACAGGGGAAAAGGGCTGACAACAGGCTGAACGCTGACAACACCGTCCTGCCTTGGTAGCTCCGTCTGACAGTAGCTTTTTAGATCCGATGTTCCGCTGTGATACAGAACATCAAAGACAAGCAGAGCCATTACCAGGCAATTTTCACTCACTGTAGCAATAATAAGGACCATGTCCATCATTGTATGAATGGTAACAGAACAGAGAAAAAACTGTGTTGTGAATTACAAATTAGGCTCAAACAAAGGCTCCACAAATGGACTAATAGCATGGAGCCGACTAGTGTCAGTGAGATGCTGATGGTGTGTCTGTGTGTGAAATTATGATGTGCATTTTTCAAAAAAAAAAGAAAAATAAAAATAAATACTGACATTGAGAAACAACAAAATCCTCAAACACTCACACACGCACGCAGGCGCACCTCTGCCGTTCTCATGATACTTACATAGTTGTCTCGAGCAGACCAGCCTGGGTAGAGCTGCATGTGGAGCTGCCGTTCCTTGCGGGCTAACTCGTAATACTTAGCTTGCTCTTCCCGAGATAAAGCATGCCACTGTATCGGGGGTGGAGGGGGAGTAAAGAGGAGAAAAATAGCACATAGTCAATTACTGGCATGCAGCTGTCTGATTCTGCACAGGGAAGTATGTTACTGTTTCAAAAAGCAGAAAGGAATATGTTTCAACTTTCAAACGTCTGCTGTAGAACAAAAAAAAAGTAGAGAAAAAGAAGGAAGACAATGAAAAATGGGAAACATGATGAAGAGATTAACAAGCAAAAGAGTTGAGAGGAAAGAAGAGAAGGGGAAAAAAACTTTGATTTCATATCAAAACACTGGTTCCAATTTAGCAGCGCCTTTTATTCAAACTATGTCAGCGAGCAATTACCCTGAGCAAGCCACAAACTCGGCTTTGCTGTGGCTGGCTGCCTCAACCACTAGGCCTATTCGTTAAGGCTTTTAACATGGCTCTGTGGTTCCACTCTTTTCCCAATCTTCAAAAGGAACAAATTTTGTCATTTCAAACCGTGCCATTATACAGACATATTTCATTAAAGACAGTGTGATTAAATGTCAGTTAAACTCAGTCAGAATGTGTATCTGTGCATCTGAAACTTAAGTAATTGAGAGTGAACTCATTATGACGATAACTATGATCATAAAAAAAAGTTCTAGATGTATCAGGTCAGAAACGTCCGTCCACACACACTAAACTTTGGAACCAAAGTTTGAGCATAAATCTCTTGGTGATTTGACACAATCAGCAGAGATGAACTAGTGCAGGAAAGGAGAATGAGGCTGTGGTCTGAGAGCAGACCATCTCTGTGACGTACCCTTCGTCCCAGGATCTGATTGATGGCGGCGCTCTCCTTCAGCGTGCACTCAGCCACCACATTTGCACGCATCTCTTTCATGTACAGCATGAAGGCGTTTAGTGGCTTCTTAATGTGCGGTCTTTTGGGCTCCTGCTCTTTTCTCTGGTCATGCTGAGATTTCCTGCAGTGATAAAGACAGAGATTCAGATAAAGAACAAGCAGAAATCAAGTAGATTAAAAGAAAGAGCAATGCAACAGGAAAAAAAAATTAATTGTTCAGCTGCAACAGCGATGAGAGCAGTGGGTCAGGTTGTTCTCAGCCACTGCTGACAAAAAGGCAGACACGCAATACGCCCCTGCCTCTTTAATGGTGTGCAGTTGTATGGTTTACAGCCCGACATGCAGAGAGATTACTTCACCAGTAATGGCAACCAAACCTTTTCTGTTTACAGCTCATTGTTAATCGCTTAAAACCAAATGTTCACATACACACAAACTTTCAGACTCCATTTCTTCTCCTGACCGACTTTCTAACAAGCTCGCCCAGTTTGGGTTTGAAGATGGCCATGAATAATGGAACTATCAGATCCTCACTGCACACACTGGGTATGTGAATTAATTCCATCTCAGCACTAATCCAGGACCTGTATCTGTTGCTGTCTGTGTGTGATGTGATCCCTGAGGCCAAATGAAGCGCAGGCCTCTTATCAGTCAAGTACGGGCCCTCCCTGCTTATCTGCTCACATCAAGGGAGTGATAACAAAACTCTGGCAGTGGGCTCGCTCAGTGACGGTCTGCTGCCGCGGCGCGGTGCACAAACACATAGACTCGTGTCATTTTAGAACATCGTGCCAAATGATGAAGTGGACGGTGGGTTTAGAAATGATGTACAGAAGTATTTGATGAATCTGAGTCTGCAGGACTTACATGTGCATGATGTCTGTGTCGTGTGATGGCTCCTGTTTGACCTGTGGGTTGACGATGGCTGGGTGGGGAATTCCCGTGGCGTGAGGGCCTGGGGGGCCAGGCACCATGTGGTGTGAGAACCTGCAATAACAGCATGTACTTTCATTAAGGTGTACAACTTAACTAGATCTACATTTTTATTTTGATTTCTTACAGGTGCTTTTAGAAGTGTTTTGCAAGAGTCGAGCTGACAAAGATTCATTCAATAATTTTCTGACTGTTTATCTTTTTAACAGTTGTTGGTGAAGGTGGACTATTGGAGACTGACTGGAGAACTGATTGACTAACAACCATTCACACTCACATCCACACCTATGGTCAATTAAAGGTGGACAATTAACCCAAATAGATGGGACAGAGCTGGTATTTCTTTGTGACAAACATGCAGAATCATATTCCTATTGTTGATTTCATAGTAATAGTTTACTTTTGTGTGACTAACTGTGGACACAGCAGGACAAAAGAAATGGATGTCCTTTCCAAGTCTAAGCTCACTGAAAAGTAATTTACTCATGCAGTACCATTTTTTGACAGCAGGGTGGTTTAAAAACAACTCTGGCTCCCATATGTTTGCTTGTTTCTATCACCAGTTCTCTCTCTCTACAGACTTTAGGATTACTTAAATTAAACTTTTTTTTAATTTAAGTCTCAAAGTAAATGAAACAGTTAAAACTTTAAAACTCCCACTAAATGGGAAATGGGCTACAATCCTTGAGGTTTTCATTTGTACTAGATTTAAGGAGGAAAACAGGAGGAGAGCGTCTGGCCTTTGAATGTTGCCTGATCCTGCACCTTACATCTGGCATCACTCAGTGTGTGCCTCAAGCCCTGTCTTCACAAACATCACTGACAGAGAAAAAGATAGTGAAATGTGGAAAAAAAAGGATATAAATAAAAAGTCTGCAAAAGAAGTAAAGGTAGGAGTGCCCCAAAAAAAACAACACCCCCAAAACATGAAGTCAGGCTGAGAGAAAAATGTTGCCTAAAATCTCTGATGGTGGCTGAGCAGCCATATGGTTATGCAAAAGCACGTATGTGGTGATGTGTTTGACATGTGTGTCGGGTAAAAAAAAAAAAAAAAAGGATCAGTGTGGCTGAAGCCGCAAAGAGTGCAGCAGGAACAGCCAGAGGCAGACCTCCCTGTGAAGGCTGCTGCTGCTGCTGCTGCTGCTGCTTCTGCGGGCCAGCTTGCATCTATATGAAGCACAAAGCAAGTACACTGTCTCTGAGCATCCGATGTGGAGAGACAGAAGAGTAATTGCTCTTGGTTTACATGAATCGTCTGTTTTTGCATTTGTCTGTGTGAGATTTACCATCCCAGTGGTGGTGTGATCTGTCCCATTCCTCCTGGAGATAGGGAGTAGAAGTTGGTCATGTCTGGTCCTGGGTGATGCCTGTGCATTCCTTAAAGACAAGAATGATACAAACTATTATAAAAGCCTAAAAATGCTGACAGCAGTTCAAGGTCATGCGAGTGATCCATTCACTCACATGACCTTGAACTGGCAATGAAGTGAAAAATTAAGTGTTGTCCATGAAATTAAAATTAAACTAAACATAAAGTAAACGTCTGTAAAATCTGATTAGAAACATCCAGATATCAATAAAAACGCATGAATACATTTGGGCAATTGTCTCAAATCAAGTGATCAGGCAGAAATGTTTAACTTTAGGGACAGTATGTAGTTTTGCATAATTATAATACTAATTTTGTTTGGCAGCACTGAAAGTTAGGTTTCCCTCTCCTGGCCTGTAGGTGGTGTTATGCATTGTATCTGTATAAACCCTTGATTCTGTGAACAGCTGTATGTTTTTTATATATATATATGAATAGAAGTAGTGTGGATATAACCTTGGTTGTTCCATTTCCCAATTCTCCTGGACATCAAATCAAGCACAGATGAGGGATTGACTGGACCTCATCACCAACCACTAGAGAAAAATCATATCTTCTTCACTAAGGTTCAAGCACGGCTTTGTGTCTTAGGATAGTTAATTAAAACTGGAGCATCTTCTCTGTGAGAGAGGTTGTGACTTTCCCTGTAGACACAGGATTCACTTGGACTAACTGTCAATGAGTCTTCAGTACTAAGCACCAGCTTGGTGGCTTCTTAAGGGTTTCAAGGTCACGGGGGATATCTCGGGTAGTAAATGTGTCCATACACATAATACAAAATGGAACCTGCCATTTTAGAGATTAACAAGAAATAATATGGTCCAAATATTAATGTTTATAGACAAGTTGGGGACATTCCTTTATGCATGTTTCTTCTATTTGTGTCAGCCACAAAGACACACACACACACACACACATAATCTGACAGTTGAATGCCTCTAAATTAGCACCATCCTCTAATCCCTGCTGGAGACAGCCTCTCCTCCCCCACTCCCCCTCCATTCCTCTCTCTCCAAACTCTGGTCTGAAGGGGCCTCCCTCCTTGGAGGGGAGTGGGGATCTTATATCTCCAAAGCCAGTTTTGCAAAGCTGGATTCGTAGCGTGCACAACACTACCCCCTGCCCACTAATCCACCAGCCGATGTTCCTCGGGGCTGTCCTGAGGGCAGAAGGGAAGGAGGCAAGGGTCGAGGTAGTAGGGGAGGAGAAGAGAGCCCCAGCGTGTTAACCTTGTCACTCACACCCTTGAGGTGGCTAATTACTCCTTCCCCCCAATTCACACATTCCTGTTGACCCACCCACAACCCTTCACACTTGCATTTCCTCTCAAAACAAGCAACCCAAAAAGGATTCTCTCTGTCAAACAAGGAACTGTGGGTTTCAAATTAGCGTTCCATCTTGTACATACGGAAAAAAAAAAAAAATAATAAAGGTTTAAATGTAAAATGTTCAAAGGCTTTACTCCTTTTCTGCATTGCAGCCCTGTGCATATTACAGCTCATAATGAGAAATCCATGATTGTTTTTCATAATTAACGAGAAGATCAAAGACTGAGTTCACTAAAGAAGGCAGAGCATCGTTTGGTCGATATGAGGGCAGAGCGACGGGCGCAGAGAGACAGAGAGAGAGAGAGAGAGAGAGAGAGAGGAAAGAGAGGATTCATTTTAAGCATTTCAGCTTAGCTCTGCTGGTATACATATAAACATGCCCAGGGAAATAATTTGCCGCTAATTCTGCATCTGCATGGCTTGGCCTTATATCACTGTCGGTGCAAAAACAGCATGTAGTAACAAGAAGAGCTCCTGGAACTCCATCTCTTCAACTGTGTTTTATACAGTTACATAAATGCAAGAATATTAAAATAAATATTATGGGTTTTTTTTTAAATAAATTGTGCTAATAACGTCAAGTAAAATTAAGTACAATGAAGTGGGTGTTGTGCATTTCTCACCAGCAATGTGTCAACACATTTTTGCCGTTTTCCTTTGAAAGTATTGTACTTAACACGTCTGATGTCTGAGTTCTCTGGCATATGTGGAGCACTATTTCTTTCATACATCTGAGCTCCTTCATCTCTCTTCACTGCGTGCTCACGCTCCTCTTCGTGGTGTTATTTATAGTTGGTCCCTCAGAACCTCACAGTCTCCTCATCATCCTCACCGCCATCGCCTACATCCTGTCTAATTCCTCTGCTCCTTTTCAACTGACAGCAGAGAAGAAAGTCGAGTGAAATAGGTGTGGGACAAATCTGTGTCGGGCCTGTGTCTGTTCGCCTTTGTGAGAAGCTGCCAAAGTTTCCAGCTGTGTGGGGCTGAAGAGCCTGTCCAAATTGCTGAGCAGCTCCTCTGCAGCTGTCAGAACTGGAGCTTGATGTTGTTACAGAGAGGCAGAGTGTGCAGAAGGAGAGGGCAGCGGAGCTGAGTGCACCATCCCACAGGCTGCTTCAAATGTGTTCGCGCTTTAGAGGTGACAGGAGGGTCGACTTTGATGTGACACACTTTGGTTGGAGCGTTTCTATTGATTCTTGACAGTGTTGGCAGGTATGCCAAAAACGGAAAACAAAAAAAAAAAAAGATGGTTGTTTGCTTGAGTTCACTCTTCAGTGTGACAGCTTTATTTCTGGATGAAATTATTTTTATATTTTTGACTCTTTTGCCTTATTTTGGTAAGGACGATAAAACACGTAAACTTTAAAAAGTTCCTGAAAGACGTAATGTAAAGTAAGAGTAAATAGTGCACAATATATTGTTACACTTAATATCAATGTCAATATCTATATCACTATCAATCAAATCATACAACTTGAATGTTGCAATACGTTTTTGCACTGGTCTGTTAAATACCTACGTGATTAAATGAAAATAACTATGTCGAACATTAAAATATGATAAATAAAATAGAATTTCCACGATCGGCTGCACAGTTGTAGCCACGTTCCTATGTGTGGTGATTACTTGGTGAAGGGCAAGATTCAAGGAAGCTTGTAGATTCAAGGAAGCTTGTAGATTCAAGGAAGCTTGTAGATTCAAGGAAGCTTGTAGGTGGGAGACTACAAGCTCCAGAACCACTGACCTGCAGCCACTCCAAACCTCAGTGTCAAGTTAAATGCTCAAATAGGAGAAACTGGACTGACATCAATATTTCTGCAGCTAGACCCATTGATGTCCACTTCAGTTGTCCTTACGTCTGGACCACGCATCTGACAAGTTTGCTGGCACTTGTACACTTATCTTGTACAACAAAAGAGTCATAGTTCAGGTTTAGGGAAAATTTTGAGTATAATGAATAAAGAAAAAAAATGACAGTAGTGGTGTTAACCTAAGATACTCCAAGTAAAAGGACGAGAACGAGTAATTAGACATAAATAATTCATAAACTTTTTTGCTTTTCCTAATGAAGTGATGGGACAAGAAACATTTGCCGTGGTCTGTCTTTAAAAAGATGACTTCCTCAGCGTTTTTTATTTTGTGTTATAATACGTAGGATTGTGGAGCTGGGTTGTGTTCTGCGGTTTCACCTTGTTTGTTGCCAGTGTCCTGTGGATGAAGTCCAGAATGAGATCCTGGAGCGAAGTGCTCATCACTGTAAGTGATCAGTGGGGTGAGTGGGTGGACTGCATGTGACGGCTGCACCACAGGAACTTTGTTGGACTGTAAAGAAACAAAGAAGATGATTATAGAAAATGTACGTTTTATGAAAGACAAGTCTTTTTTCCTGCCGTGTGATTTTAGGGCGGGAGCGACATCAGCTGTTTATTACTATCAGATATCTTGTATCTTCAACGTCTCGCCTCCCGTGTTGACTACGTATCCACTAGTACAACACTGTAGTCTAAATCAGCAGAATTTGAAAAACAACACTTCCTCAACGAAAGGAGAAATAGAGAGAGCATGGAAAAATATATTACAGAGGTGAACAAGAATGTTTGAGACAGCTACAAAGAAATAAGCAGGCAGAGCTCGGAGTGCCTGCATAGCAGTGAGCGAGCTATAGAGCAAAAGAGAGAAGAGGAGAGTGAGAGAGAGAGAGTCACAGGGTAGAGGCAGAGCAGAGGTCTTAGGCAGGAGATCAAAGGCAGTCATTAGCTGGTGAATAAGGAGAGTTCATTACAGAGCAAGAGCCGGGGGAAGGAAAGAAGAGGGATGATGGAGGCGGAGGATGAGGGGTGGGGGGGTGGCTGTGGAAGGAGAGGAGCAAGGCAGATGTCTGCAGTGGTACTAAACGCAGAGATAATCACGTCCACTGTGGCTCGTCCACGAGTCCCCCATCCATCCCAGGCTGACTCAAAGACCTGCCTCCTGACAACTAAGATAGTTCTTAGCCAAAAAAACTCCAGCCTAAGCCAAAAAAAATGCCAGTCCCAACCCCCGGCCAACTTACATGCTTCAGCAGCACTGAACACATGGTAATGCTTAGCCATGCTAAATCTATTTACAATCTGAGCCCAGAGCTGAGCTGGAGTCAAAATATCACCTCCACAGGATATAGGGCTAATCAGACAGACATCGGTTCAACGTTGGGTGAGACTCAACCCCATACACCGGGCGTCAACTTTGAACTACAAAGAAGAATTCATGAAATGCTATTTCATATTCATTTTTAACAAGGTTGTAATTTACAATAGAGAAGGAGGAAAACATGGAATCATGGAAATTCAGTCTTTTCTGTTTTAACTTTATAAGAGATGGGTGTGTGCTTAGGACCGTTACTATAGCACAAACTGGTTCTTTTCTTCTTTCCGTCTTCACCTTCTTACCAGGAGGACGCCACCTTCTGTCAATACAACAAACACTGTAGCCACAAAAAATATCAAATCTTACACATGTTGATAATAATGTTACGTATTTGAATAAATCATTAGGGCCCAGTTAGGGACCAGTTTTGGTAGCAGTATCTGCCATCAGTGTAAAGCTCTGCTCACTTTCTGTTCAACTGACTGTTAACTGTGCAGAAAGTTTATTTTTATTCATCATTTTCTTCATTTATTTCAATTTAGTGACCGTTTGAAGTTTTGCTGCTTAACGCAGATAATTGTTTTAAAACATTTTGTTTGAGTTATTCCTCTGATCATGAGAAGAAAATAAAACTGCCCGTAAGAATTTGCATGTCAAGCCACAGATACAACACTGCCTTTCAGCTCAGATTGGACATTTTATGGGCACACAAATGAAAGTACCCTAACTTGTATCACTTCGTAAAAGATTGTATCAAGACAAAAATACTTAGAGTATCATCTCTCTCTGCTTTTTAATGCATCTCTTCTAACCACAGTGTGTTGCAGTGGACAGCTCCTAACTGAGAGCTCTTTAAGCCGTAATGCTGTGGAGTTTCAAACCGGCCCAGGTGAGTTGTTTTCTGACCCCTACTAACTAGTGTCAAAGGTGGTGGTCTAATCTGTGGGTATGGGAGTGTCAGACCTCATTTGACAGAGGACTCACTAGTAAAGGCCTGCTAACCCTAAAGGGAGGCTAACCAGGACCAAGCTGCTGAGACACACCTGGACCAGAGGCTATATCAGAGCGTTCTCAACCGTATTACTTTACGTTTGTTGTACCCTGAGAATCAGATAAGAACCTGAGAGATTTTGAGTTCTCCTAGAAGTTGTCTTGAATCTGGTGCTGCAAAAAAAAAAAAAAAAAATAAAAATAAAAACGCAAAAGTCAAAACCTAAGTTTTCTTCATTGATTCTACCTACATATACTGTGGTGACAGTACAAAAGAAAATTTAAAAAAATGTTATTTGGTCCTTTAGACTTACAAACCCTTCTCTTTGTGTCATCTGCAGCTGTCAGATCCTATTTTGTCAACCCCATAATAAAATGCTTATACTAAGACCGAAGCCAACAGAAAAAAAACCTGCAGGCCCCTGTGACCAATTCAGTTTTTATGGCTGCTTTAGTTTGAAATTACACACGGCATGCCCTAACTAACCATTGTTAACAAAAGTTTATACAATGTTATCTCAATCAGGACCATTTGACTGTGGTCAACACTCAAGAGATTCTAATGTTTTTATTTATCTATATTAAGTAGAATGACTTATTTTAAAATATTTTTAGATGGTAATATTATTAACAAGAAACACTTCAGATTCTTAGAAGATGAAAATAGTCAGCTGACCAAAACCATGTGAGTTACAGACAGAGATTTCATCTCTTCATTCCTGTCCTGACTTTAGGAGACCCCACCAGCAGCAGAAGTGCTGCTAAGAACGTCAGCCATATTGGAGGTCCGCTTCGTTCCACAATAGAAATAATTGGCTTAGAATCTGCTGTCATACTTTTAGGGAGTCCAAAAGAGCAAAAGCATCAAGGATTGAGGAAAAAAAAAAGGTTCCATTTGGAATTCCATATCCACGATTGGCCAGTGCTTCTTTATAATACCCCTCAGATGTGGTTTTAGGAGCAATTCATTGTGTGGAACTGAAACTCGTCACAGAGGAAACACTCCACTGTGTTGGAGCATGCCAAGTCGGCAACTTGGTTAGCTGTCTGGCATTTGGCTGAAGAATAAGAAACAAGGTTTCATTCAAGTCCACAGCAGAAAATCACATTGTATCAGGCCAACAATTCTCATGTGATCATGACTGTTTCGAAGTGTAATACAGTAAGTGTCTGTGTCATTTAATGAACAAATATTTTTGCAATAATGCCTGTTCAACATCTCCATCCCCATCTACTTTTCACAGCAGGGTTTTTGTAGCTAATTATACCACCTTTGGAGAGTGGATTGGAAAACTGGGGAAAGCAGGAATTTTATAATAATCACTTCCCACCTATGTATTTTATATGCAATGAGGCCTTGTTGTGCCTGCAGCTACCTTCAAGTGTGCAGAATAAATGTGAGTTTCACAGTTTCATGTGAGTGTTTTACCAACAGCTGGGGTGATCGCAGCACCAGCACTGGAATATTCAAACATTTTGGGCCAAAAACAAAAAACCCTTTTCAACAAAATAACTTCAGTTCGACCCAAGGAAATCTTTTTAAATAACAGTGAATCACTGACTGGGAGCATACACCCTTCTGCAGTTGTTTAAACAGTCTTTGGCTACCATTTCCATTGACAGAGCAGATAGAGATGACAAAACCACTGGCAGAAAGCCTCTGCAAACACTGAGAGTATGAGTATAAAGCAAGGGTGTGCCCGTTGCTCTAATCCCACAGTCATCCTTAGTAGACCAGGTGTTTATTGTCAGGTGCATTGGCGTGCAACCTTTCAACCCCTTCCCTCACAAAAGTGTACAAATACTGTTGGCCACACTGCTCCAGCTACAGAAGAGAAAAGAAAAATAAAACCCAGAGTCGCCCGTCTCCCTTCAACCTTAGGAAGCTTAAATAAATAACCAATTACCACTCACAGTGAGGGTTGAACCCCACCAGCTTTGAGCAAAGTGCTAAATATGGAATGTTTTATTGGCAGGGTGGCCCCTCGGCCAGAGGGCTTAATATAACAAAACCCAATTAATGGAGAAGAAAGCCATGCCAGCAGCAAGAGGATTGCCACACGCTCAGCGTAATGAGACAAACAAGTGAAGCCAACCACAAGGATAGGCAGGAGGAGGCTATGGATAAGAGTAAAAATCCTGCCCTGAAGAGAAAGATACACCCCCTCCCCACCCCCCGCCCCCAGACACACGTCATCAAAACACTGCCGTCCGTTAAATTCAGTCATAAATCCTACAAAAAAACCTTTCCACTGAATACCACATGACACCCACATGACACCCACACCCAACCGCCACTGGGTGCACAAACAATCCACATAAAGTATACATACATAGGTAAAATATTTTACAGTGCATAGTAACAGCACCAGAGTCTGTAATAATAATAAAAAACAACAAATAATGAATTAATTTCTGGGCTATATATTAACACATAGAACTTATTAAATGCCAGGTTTGTCATCCAGCGACAGGCACAAGTGAGGAGAATGATATGGATTACCCATCATCCTTCAGACTGTGCAAGATTGCGCTTAAGGCAAACCCACTGCACTAGCTCTCTTGCGGTGGCATTCTGAATATGCATAAAAAGATAATTTGTATGAAATATGCTCAGCCAAAGGAAAGACTTTATCTGTTTTTAAAGTGTATGACTCTTAATTTCTTTCTCTGTCACACTGGTATTAAAACCTAATGGAGAGTAACAGAACATTAGAATAATCCAGTTATTTTGTTTCATCTCTGGTCATGCACAGCAAGTTCAGTAGAGTGGTGAGGCAACACATTTCTGAGGTAAAAAGGCTATGACATCTAAAAGAGTCAATGCTTATCTCACAGAATTGTGTTAATATAAAGGTGCTCATGATTATAAATAATAAATCACTTTGAACATAACTAGCCGTGTCATGTCTTTGTGCTACAAAAATGTGTTCTTAGTTACACAATCCAGAAACTCAGTAAGGGAGTTGGTTGGCTTTGATTGGAGGTCGCCTCGTATCCACTACTGTGTTTTGCCAAGCGAGCATGCATGTGAGTGCACGTGTGTGCTGGAGGTTGGGCCTGTGCTTTGGCAGCGCCCCGGGCAAACTGCAGGATCTTCTCCTTGCAGCAGGGCACAGTGCTCATTATCACAGCAGGCCCTGGTCACATCAAAGAACTGACGAAAGGGCAAACATTCTGCTAGAGTGCCACCGTCAGCAAGCCTG